CAGAAAGTTTTGCAGCGTGTGCGGCTTCCTGGGGGACTACATATGCGTGACCTGTGGCGTGCGTTTCTGCAGTCTTCGCTGCCGCGAAATCCATAACGACACTAGATGTCTGAAGTGGGTCGCCTAACCGCTGCGGGAGGCCAGCATCTCCAATCATTTTTCCACTGTATATAGCAGGATTTTCTCATACTGTACACCATAACGCAATAATTTTGTAAAACTCGGAATTTGATATGACCAACAGATTATATTGATGCTTTGCTTTCAATTTTGTCTTGTCTCCTGAAAAATCAGCTGTGGCCACACAATACATCCATGTTTATGGCAGGATTGGCTGTTTTCCGTAGAACGGCGCCAGGAGGTCTTCAACTACAGAGATCAATCAGAAAAATGTGGGATCCTTCGCTGTGTTAAGAGAGTGGTTTCTGTAATTGCCGGTGCCCCAGTATCGCTAAAAAGTAACCCAACGCAGTTAGATGCTCTCGTCTCTTACCTTACTGAAGGCCGAATTCCTTTGGTTGTACTCTGCGCACATAGTGTGTATCGTTGGTTTAAATTTGCCGTATTCCGAGTTGGTTGTTTGGTACATTGGATTGTCAGGTTGGCTTCCATAGGCGTTCAGTATTTCTGTGGATTGAGGTAACTGAATTAACTTTGGTAGTTTATACCTGGGTGATTGAAACGCTCGGGTAGGTTGGAGGCCTTCTCGTAGTGGTCCTGCGTGCTTGCACCTGCTGGCACCAAATCAGCGGGTTCGAGACATTTCTTCAGTTCATTATGTTCTCTCCCGAGTTCCTTACTCAAGCATGCCTTGACTGTGCTGTGAAAGTAGGTAAGAATTTGGTTAGGAGGGAGTAGTAGACCATGACTTCAAGTGTTTATAGACCTCTTGTTAAATATTGAGATGGAGCTTGAGCGTGTAGTCCCAATTGTGCACTCACATTTTTGGTATGTAGTAATTTGTCCGCTCTGCTGTTTGTGATAGACAGATATATGGGAAGATTAATTTTGCTTATATGCCTACTTTGTTTAGTTTCCTTAAAATCGAAAACTTCAAATATATGCTTGCAAGTACTTCTCACTGGGAACAGATAACAGAGGTGTAACATCTTGTAAGGATTTAGGATTTCATTGCCTTCTGACGCCAAAAATGATACGAAAAATTGGTTCATTTCAGAAAGACGAATCGGTGACCTTCGTTCTTAATCTATCTTTTTATCTGCAAATTAAGTATACATATATGCCTTCGTGAATTGGATGATTTCCAATAGCCGCGAAGTAAGTTTGTTTGGATACATTAAACGTTAGTGTCCTCAAGTATGTACGGTCTTACGAGGAGGTGCATTTGAGAGCGTGTGGGAGGATTCGCATGTGCTCTCTACATTATTGGTCGTTCATTTTCTTCGATGTCTTCCTTCGTTTTCTTCGTACGCAATCATTTGTTTGGTTTATTTTTTGGAAATTAAGTAAATCGTTTTTTCGGCAAATACCATCATTTTTTACATATACGCGAGGATTCAGAGAGTTCATGCAAAAAAAGGAAGTTTGGACTGTGCCAGCGTCTTGTGCGTTCTTATCACTCACTCTTATAGATCAGGAATCCCCCTCGAGAAATGCTAGAAAAGTGACGCTCTCCGACTCAGGATCAGTACGCACGACCTGAGGTGAACACAGACACTTCGGGAATTTACGGTCATGTATTTTTCAGTTTATTCTTCTCTACTAGAAGACAAACCAGTTAGCTTGCTTGGTTGTGCGTATGACTTCACCTATCCGTCTCATGCTTTGGAATGTTTGACTTGGGCAAGAAACTGTCCATTCAGATTGTGATTTACTCGTACATAATGCATTACAAGAACCTTTTCTTGGTTTAGGCAAAATATGGTGGTCTTCTGATTACTTGCTCCATTCAATATGCCTTAAAGGTGTTCAACAAGTGCACCCTTAGACACTTTTCCACTGGGCCCGGACCTTCCTCACTTTCGAGTTCATGGGCTTCTTTCTTATCGTTGGGCATATTGTGACGGAGTTTACTGTCTTTTATGGGCGAGCTCGATTCATCCGCAACCATGTACATTGCCCGTGTATTTACTGGCAACAGCGTTCTTTATAGTCACAGCTATCTGCCACCTGTATATCTGGCAGAATATATCACTTAGTAAGCCTAAAACAGCTGATGTTGTCATCTACTGTCTACTTAGGTTAACGGATATATTCTACTTTTTTACAGCGTAACAGGTTGTTGCTTGTTTGTTCCACAAGATGAATAACCTATTTAGCTCCCCTAGACCAGTAGGCTCTATATATGCCTGTCGTAGTACGTTATTGTTTCTACGGCTATAAGCCGCAATAATCAGAGGCCAACCAATCATCGTTGAGCCTCGACCTAATTCAGTTAACCTCCAAAATCTTTGCTAATTGTGTTACCACTACGACTCCATCACCTCCTTAATCGATGATGAGCCCGTGCCAATCCGCATGCGTAAGTGTCATACTCACCTGTCCGAGTTTGAGGGTATGGGTATGAAATGTGCCTTCTAACCTTCTATTGCACTGATGTGAAACAAGGTCTTAATTGGACCGGTCTGCATGATCTACTTCACGGTTAACCGATGTAGTCGAGTGAGAGATTGAATGTACTACTAAGCATCCCACTTCTATGACGGAAGTAATGTTACGTTGTTTTTTTTTGCTTATACTGTTTGATTGATTATTTTTCATCCTTTTTTTCCAGTTCTGCGTCAAGAGTGGAACGCTTTCTCTGGGATCTACTATTTTCCAATGCATTGAAATATGTGCAAATAAATTCATTTGAAATGATGCGGATCCGATACTGAGAACTGACGTTCCTTTATTACAATTAACCTGTGATCAAATATGCTGCATTCAGGAGATCTGCGTTCCTAATTAGGCGTAGTATGATTTATGGCCTTCCGTAAAGCTGACAACTAGTTAATCTTGCTAATTTGCTACAGATATTTGGTCTACGATTGCTGTGTACATTCAACTACTTTAAATAACGAACGAAGCTAAGAGGGCTAACATTTACGCATTCATGAATTCAGTGTCGTACACAATTGTTCTGGAAGCGGAACTGCGGAAAATTCAACTACTAGAAATCAACGATCGGCACAAAACGGATGTTTGCGTGGAGGCATTAGGTGGGCTCTGTGTTAGTCGTATCCTCTATATCTATTTCTGTGCATGAGTTATAAGAGCAATAGAATCTGGACGTTTAATTCCTGCCGGTTAGAGTATCTCATCTGTTGTGTCGGATTAGAACGTACAGTTAACTTTACATTGTAAACCTTCAGCTGGTCTCGGTATTTTTTTGTGCGTGAGGTGTCTTTGGAATTTTGGGTACGAGCGGCTCCCCAAGAGCCGCACGGATTGTTTGTTCGAGGTTGAAATTGACAGGCGTAGGCAAATCTAAAGACTCCGTTAATAGAAAGTGCTGTAGCTCGAGTGTCGGAATGACAAGCGGGGATGGTTTTGGTCAGTATGAAGGCAGGCAAATTGGAGCGTTCTACCAACGGCCTTGTTAAGCGTTAGTATACTGTATTCAAATTGGAAACGTCGTAGGGGGGGCGGGGGGTCAACTAAAACCTGGCTTGACTCAGTGCATCAGGAAATGAAAGTGGTTTTTGGACCCTCGGTATTCGGTCTTCGGCGCTGGAAAAGACACTGGGTGGAGCTCTCCAGATCCGATATCGCATATCGTAACGCATGGAGAGGTACCGTTCGTGACATTGTCGAGGTCGGCTAGATCAGGCATGATCACAGCCGTAACAAGTAAGTAAGAAAGTTCAATTTATTTATCCATACAACAAACGTTATGTCAAAGGTTCACATCTGAATTATATTGAGTCATCTCTAACATAGATTTGCAAACATTAAATGCCTTGAGCTGTTGAAATTACTGCGTGTCTCAATCGGGGGTTCACT